TTTTTTTTGGTAAATCAAAACTGTTACAAAGAAATACAGCAAGGGAAACAAAGTCCCTCCCATATGTCAACTCAAACTTTGCTTTGCTTTCCCTCTTGGCAACATACGGAAATTTTATAACCTCCCTCTCTTCTTCAAGGATATGGTGTCACATACTAATATAGGCTACCAGCTAATGAATTGTTTGATAAAGAGCAATAAACTCAGATAATTGCACTTCTTTGCAGGCTTCACTGCCTGTCATAGCTTACTCAAACAGAGGAAAACAGCAAAAGCTCACAGTGTAGGTATTCTACATATATCCTTCCTTACAAGAATCTCTGGGTTTTAGAGAGACAGGAGTAGAGGGAGGTGCAGAGTCAGTATGTAGTGGGCTACTGGCAGATTCCAATACGGTATTGTCATGTTGCATCAAGATTCCTCATTGCAGACAGAAATCTGCTTCCACACATGAACGCAGCCCTTCCTTAATCATCTGAGGACCCTGGTTCAGCAGTTCAGCCTCACTCCTAATGACATTCTGTTAAATGGACAAATTCCTTTGAAGCCTTGTCCTTCTTTGAAATCCAATTTCGCAGGAAGCCAAATCTGATTGGAGGTAGCCATGGAAACCACACCGAGGAGTCTTAGAGGAGGTGAAGAGAGGCAAGGCAAAACGTGATAGTCACAAGTCCTTTACTGCTCTGTCAGAAATATCAAAGAGATCTGTAGAGGCTGGCAGCAGCCGAGTCCCTGCCTGGGTCCTGTTCTGTGTGGCTGGGTACCATGTGGCTGTCATGGAAGAAAGCAGCCAGCTGTCTCTGCACACTGCCAGGAGGATAGAACAGAATACACAAATCTCAGGTCTGTCTGCCTCCCTTTTCTCCCCCTCCCCCAAGACCCAATTCCAGCAAGATCTTAGAATCCCCTTAGCTGCCCGCCCCTTAAAGACAAACAACAAAAGAATGACAAGGTTAAAATACAAGGCCCTCACAGATAAGAGGTGCTTTGGAGCAGAGGCCATGAAATTAATCTGGAATTCCTTGTAATTAGATAAGATAAGGGTATCTAAAGAGATGCAGAACAGCCAGGAATGGAGTCCAGCAGAACAACATGCAGAAAATATACCACCTTGTCCACTGGGACCCTTCACGAACTGTCAGCAGACGGAAGACACAGAAAATAGGGCCTATGTTGGCCTCTGGGCTGCTTGGGAATGCCATCTACATGTTCTCATGCCAGGTGGGCACTCACTAAATAGGCATCTATGGGTTGTCCAGAGGGCCCAATCAGGAAGAAACAAAAGCATCTGGCACCCAGAATGGCATAGAGTGGGAACAACTGCAAGCAAAAGCAGGAGCTGGCTGGCATTGCTCTGCCCTGGCTGAAATAGGTCTGGAGAGGAAACTGCGGAGGGCAGGCTCTGAGGCTTTATTCCGAGATGGTTATTGATCCCTGAATGCTGGGTCATGACATGTGGTGGAGCTGACGTCTGCCCTGTGGATGTGTAGCCACTGCCTCTCAGCCTCTCGGTCCCAACCCCATCAACTGGGTTTATTGACTCTTTTATTGACAATGCTGGGGCCTAATGAGGACAAGAGCTGCACACTTCATTAAGGGATATGGAAGGAGAGATGATGCATCCTGTTGGTGCCAAGAACTAGGCTCACTGTATGTTTGGCAAGGCCCCAGAAACCAAGCATCGTGCCACATTGGAGGCAGAAGAGATGGACAAAAGATGCTAACTTAGGCACATTATTTCAGTGGCCTAAAAATGAAGAGTTTCCACGGCTTGTGAGAAGCCTTGTTCTTATTAATTAGCTAACCCTTCAACTTAGGAGGGTCCTGTTATACACATACTCACACAAATACACTTCTTTTTTTTGGGGGGGATAGAGTCTCACTCTGTTGCCAGGCACCAGGCTGGAGTGCAGTGGCGCGACCTCCACTCACTGCAACCTCTGCCTCCCGTGTTCAAGCAGTTCTCCTGCCTCAGCCTCCTGAGTAGCTGGGACTACAGGTGCACGCCACCACGCCCAGCTAATTCTTGTATTTTTTTAGTAGAGACAGGGTTTCACCATGTTGGCCAGGATGGTCTCGATCTCTTGACCTCGTGATCCGTCCGCCTCAGCCTTCCAAAGTGCTCGGATTACAGGTGTGAGCTACTGTGCCCAGCCATAAATACACTTATAATGGACTCTCCTTCCAGCCCACACTCCTAGATTCTCTGCCCTAATACATACAACAAAATAAGCAGCTTCTCATATGATATCAGGAAACAATCCCATAAGCAGTTTCTCAATGAGGCACAGGCTTGGAACAGGACGAGGGACTATATAAAAACTCAAAAGAATTAGGCTGGGTGTGGTGCCTCATGCTTGTAATCCCAGCACTTTGGGATGCTGAGGCAGGCTGATCATGAGGTCAGGAGTTTGACACCAGCCTGACCACGTGGTGAAACCCCGTCTCTACTAAACATACAAAAATTAGTCGGGTGCTGTGGCAAATGCCCGTAATCCCAGCCACGCAGAAGGCTGAGGCAGGGGACTCACTTGAATCCAAGAGGTGGAGGTTGCAGTGAGCCAAGATGGCACCACTGCACTCCAGCCCGGGAGACAGAGGGAGACTCTGTCTCAAAAAAACAAACAAAAAAACCTCGAAAGAATCTTCAAGGGGAGCAAATTCAAGATGAGGAACAGACTCAACACTATGCCCAGGGTCCCCCAGCTCACCAGGAGCTGTGCATTAGAATCTGGTACAAAGCTCCTGTAGAAATGAAAAATACCTAAGATAGTTACAGCCTAGGGATCACTAAACCACTCTACGAAGTAATCACTGTCGGTCCTCTTCCATCTAAATAGTAATGTTTCATTCCCAGTACTTTGGGAGGCTGAGGCAGGGGGATCACTTGAGGCAGGGAGTTGGTGAACAGCCTGGGCAACACAGTGAAACTCCTGTCTCTACAACAAATACAAAAATTTCAAAAATTAGCTGGACCATGGTGACATGAACCTGTAGTCCCAACTACTCTTGAGGCCTAGGCAGAAGCATTGTTTGAGCCCAGGAGTTCAAGGTTGCAGTGCCACTGCACTCCAGACTGGGCAACAAAACTGAGACCCTGTCTCAAATAAATAAATAAATAAATAATAGTAATGTTTCTTCCTTTGTTCTTTATCTTATCTTTCCACCACTCTTCTTCTTATTTTTTTTACTATTGTCCCCAATCCTTTTTTTTTTTTTTTTTTTTTTTTTTTTTTTTTTTTTTTTTTTTTTTTTTGTTTCTTCTTTATCCTTCAGACTACATTAGATATCCC